TTGACTGAAATCGGAGAGAAAGGCATTAATCTAAGCGGTGGTCAAAAACAACGAATCAGTTTAGCGCGGGCTGTATATAACGAGGCGGATGTGTATCTGTTGGACGACCCGCTGTCGGCCGTCGACTCTCATGTGGGGAAACATATCTTCGATAACGCGATCGGACCAAAAGGTTTACTTAAAAACAAGACCAGGATTTTGGTGACACATAAGATAGCAGTCCTCCCACATGTCGACGAAATTGTAGTCCTAAAGGACGGCCACATCTCTGAGTGCGGCTCCTATTCACAGCTCATCAGAAACGGCGGCAGTTTTGCTGAATTCTTAGCCGAGTTTATGGCTGAAGGACCGGACGAAATAGTAGAGCCCGAAGATATGGAGATCATCGAAGAGATGGCTAATCATATTGTCTCTGTTAACAGAGCGAATAGTCCGTTACCTTCATAGTCTTCTTCTAAAAGCTACTCTTCGTCAAGTTACCAATCGTGGCCTCTCAGCCTTTGTCACCTCCGCCTGTCTGTCGTCTTCTGTCTCCTGGAGAAGACAATCGAAAACTCGAAACTCATTTCAACGGAACACCTGAAGACGGGTTCCGTCGGATATAAAGTGTATTACGATTACATGAAAGCCATCGGAATTTTGGGGACATTCATAACAATTTTCTCTAGAAGACAATCGAAAACTCGAAACTCATTTCAACGGAACACCTGAAGACGGGTTCCGTCGGATATAAAGTGTATTACGATTACATGAAAGCCATAGGAATTTTGGGGACATTCATAACAATTTTCTCATACATAGCGGCAAATGGTTTTGCTGTTGGATATCAGCTTTGGTTGAGTGAATGGACGAGTGATTCACATAAGAATTCCTCAAATACTGTAACAACATCTGAAAGACTGGAAGTGTATGCGGCGCTAGGTTTAGGGCAAACCATTTTTATATTGATAGCTACCATAACGTTAAACTTAGCATGTCTTCGGGGCTCTAGTATTCTTCATGAGTTAATGCTCGAGAATGTGATACGCCTTCCCATGTCTTTCTTTGATACAACGCCTATAGGTTTGAACAATTCATTTATAATAATAAGTGAATATATTTTATATTCTATATAATAGAATAGAAATCCAGCATAAGAGTTATCCAAAAGTTTTCTGTATCTGCAGTGCCTATATTGTGAAAACTATAGGAATTCTTGCGATTGGTAACTTAAGAAGTCTCGGCGGCCAAGACATGTAATCATAGCGGCGGGAACTCCTATAGTGTTGGTGTCATTCATACCGTTAGGAATTCTGTATTACGCCGTCCAGAAGTACTACATCTCCACATCCCGTCAATTAAAGCGTTTGGATTCAGTGTCCCGATCGCCCATATATTCACACTTCTCAGAGACAGTGACCGGCGCCTCATCCATACGAGCTTACGGTGCGATTCAACGCTTTATTGAGGAGTCAAACCGGAAAGTTTAAAGCGTTTGGATTCAGTGTCCCGATCGCCCATATATTCACACTTCTCAGAGACAGTGACCGGCGCCTCATCCATACGAGCTTACGGTGCGATTCAACGCTTCATTGAGGAGTCAAACCGGAAAGTGGATGAAAATCACAGCTGCTATTACTCTAGTGTTGTGTCCAGTCGTTGGCTAACCGTTAGACTCGAGTTTTTAGGTAAGAATGAGGTAAACGTTGCATAAAGCAAAATTGACCTGTTTGCTATTTTCATTAATAGGAAATTGTGTGGTATTCTTCACATCCCTGTTCGCAGTGCTATATAGGGGCACATTATCTCCAGGAAATGCCGGTCTGTCCATCAACTCTGCGTTGCAAATAACGGCAACACTTAATCAATTAGTCAAAGGAAGTACTGATTTGGAGTCCAATATTGTTTCGGTTGAGAGGATAATAGAGTACACGAAAGAGGAACAGGAGGCCGAGTGGTTCAGAGATGAATCCAAATTGAATGAGTCCTGGCCCTCGAACGGTGCCATTAGTTTCAATCGCTACAGTACCAGATATAGGGAAGGACTGGATCTGATACTGAAACAAATAGATGTGAATATAGAGCCGGGAACTCGAGTGGGAATTGTTGGCCGAACCGGTGCTGGAAAGTCATCCCTAACACTGGCTCTCTTCAGAATTATTGAAGCCGATAGCGGTTCCATATCTATAGATGGTGTCACTATAGCTGATCTGGGTCTACAAGAATTGAGATCCAGGTTGACTATCATCCCTCAGGATCCGGTGCTCTTCACGGGTACCCTACGAATGAATTTGGATCCGTTCAACAGGTATTCGGACAGTCAGTTATGGACAGCACTAGAGTTGGCTCATTTGAAGAAATACGCCAATTCTTTAGAGGCCGGACTCGACCACCAAATATCAGAGGGCGGCGATAATCTGAGCGTCGGTCAGAAGCAATTGGTATGTCTGGCCAGAGCTCTACTCAAGAAGTCTAAGATTCTAGTCTTGGATGAGGCGACCGCTGCGGTCGACCTCCAGACCGATGAACTCATTCAGAGGACCATAAGAGATGAGTTCTTCGACTGCACTATTGTTACGATCGCTCACCGATTGAATACAATCATGGATTACGACAAAGTGATGGTTATGGACAGTGGGACTGTCGTTGAGTATGACTCACCCAACGCACTGCTCAATGACAAGCACACCACCTTCTACTCGATGACCCGGGATAGTCACCAGAGATAGCATAGCCCGAGCCATCACATGACTTTAACTTAATTATTTAGTTTAGTTTAACTTATATTTAATTTTCAATCACGTGTTTAAACTCATTATTTTATAATTCATTTCATTGTAGAAATCTATTATTTAATATTTTCTATAGTAATTTAAAGGTATTAGAAAATTATTAAAATTTATATTTTATTTCAATGGACTCCAAGAATATTACCTTAATATCAATTTTCTAATATTGTATATATCATTTAATTTTATTTAAACTTTTAGTTTTTAATTTAATCAATTTATTTTATTTGTATGTTATAAATTATTTATACTGTATATGACATGAAAATGTAAT